AGAAACGAAACGATTTTCCGTTAGCCGGGCGCAAGTGTCGCCAATTGTGAACCAAACGCGAGCCAAGTCGCCAAGCGAGCGATTTTCCGTTAGCTGGGCGCAAATGTCGCCAATCGTGAACCAAACGCGAGCCAAGTCGCCAAGAGAATGGTGGTAAGAAATTTGGCGGAATTCTACATTATTTGGCGATTTTTCGCTTGAGCCCGTCTAACGGAAAAGTACCAACTTGTCCATACCTTGCCCCTCAGTCGCTACTGGCGCATCTCTAAGATGGGGAAGGAAGTGAAATAAGAAAACGTGCAATTAGATGATATGCGCAGTGACATTGTCCATGCGGCTTTGACGTCACTTGTATTGACTCCATTTTAGTCCTCAAGTCGTGTACTGCGGCTTAAAACACTAAATCTACCAAAACCGACCAAATGTGCTCTTTCCTTTCATTTAATATCGCAGAAATAGAGTTTCGTGCACTGCTTAAAGGTTTAGTGTTCAAATTAATATTATGTAATCGATCTGCATGTTACATAATGAGAATAATGTGCAGTAACTTGACTCAGCTTAGGTTTAAATGCTAATTTAGTGAGCTGATGATTTTTTTTCTGATTATTTTTGACCTAGATACAATCAGACTATTAATCCAGGTACCGAGTACGACAGGATTTAGAAGACAATTTTTCTTATCTGACAGATTGGCCATAAATTTTAGATTAATTCTCTCATCTTTCTCTTCGCTAATCTGTTTCGAAAAGTGTTTGAATCGTATTTCGCATTTAAAGCTGAAATTTATATTTATCTGAAGAAATTATATCGTTTTCGCATTCAAAGTTTAATCCCTTACTATACGATGTTATTTAAACTCTTAATTAGATCTCATTACCCCTTTAGTATATTTTTATATTATTTCAATCTATTTAAGATGGTAAAGGATAACGTGATACATTTAAGCGTGCCCAGGTGATTTTTGTATTTAAAATTAATTGTTACGTTGACTTAAATAGCAAAAATTCTGTAATTCGACGCACGTATGAGAGACCTCATTGTATGTTAAGGGGTTAATAAAATATGCAACATCAAGTTTCTGATATATTCTGTGCTGTGGCGAATCCAGGATTCGGGTCTGGGGGGGGGCGGGAGGTCATAACAATTTTGTATCGTAGTGACGAATGTGAAACCTCATGGCTTATATAAACCAAAATACTTTAACTTTACAGGCTTTCCTCTCCTGACAATAAGAACAATAAAGAACACTACAATACTTTCGATAATTTAATAAAAAATACAATAAAATAGCTGGCCAAAAAATGTTTTCGACCGCGCCAACGCTACAAGTGCAAGTGGAATGACTAGAAAAGTAGGAAAATTCTCGATCCTGTCAAGTCAGAAAGCAATGTTGTCACGATTTTATTACTATTTTTTTAAAATGAAAATTAAGATCAAACAGTTATAGTGATTTTAAATGAAATCAAGAATTTTGGTTTAGCTTTTTGGGGGAGGGGGGCTGCAGCCCAATAGCCCCTCCCCTGGATTCGCCACTGATTCTATGAATATTTTGTCATTGAATTCACCGTCGTGTCATTGCAACACCCAGTAGATGTTCTTAATAAACAATTTAATTTTTGTAAACTTTCAAGTTCACTACATGTTTCGTTTTGAAAATAACTAAACTTATTTCAAAAATGAGTATTAGACATGTAGCTGATCATAAATATGTAAAGGAAAAAAAAATTAGCATTTTTTTTTATTTTCAAGAAATGTGTAGTTTCATGGTGAAACCGATGAACGGTAACGGGCTATTTTACTTCCGAATAAGTTATCATCGAAATGCAATTTAAATTATGTATTTAATTTATAAGTATACGTGAGTATTCAGGATACTCAACTTTCAGAAAATTCAGTATTACTTTCTAAGATTCAATTTTAAAAAATATCAATTTGTGCTCGAACACTCATCATTTTGTTTCTCTTAAGAGATCAAAAGCAATTTAACTCTTACAATGCCGATATCTTTGCGGATATTAACGGCTTTGAACTGGAATTTTTATATAAGTTGGCCTGTATATCTGGCTCTTAAGTTAAGAAAGAAAAATGATGCTACGTTTCGCCCATGCGCAGTAAAAAAATGCTTAATGTGTGGTTTCAATGCGAAACCAATGAACGCCAAAGGGTTAGCAAGTAGCACCTCCTATCTCACTTTTTGAAATTTCAAAGAGCAAGAAAATACTCAATTTTTCGCAACCAATAACGAACATTTCTGAATCTACTAAATCTACGAGGATCTACTACTACGAGGATCTACATAGTGTTTAAAAAAACCGCCGTCAGAGGATTAAACCACAATTCCATAAATTATTTTAGATGTTTCCTTGGCTCATAATTTTTGAGTAAAGAACACAACGATAATTATTACTACATATTAATAAAATACGACTAAAAATATTTTTTAATAACACAAAAAAAGTGTAGTGATTTCCGCATGGCAGCCTTTTGAGGCATGTGAGCTATCGACACTTGACTGGTTCGGTCTCGATGCTTCTAGATTTAGGCTAGTAAAATGAATGTAATCTTTATACAAGAGCAGTTAAGTATTTAAGAATCTTGGATGGAATAAGACATTAAAAAAAAGACTATAGAGGGACGAGACTCAAGTTTGTGTGTAGTGCTGCTGAAGAATCCATTCAATTTTAGGAACCATTTTTTATTAGGCTACGTTCCACAGCACAGAACATTAAAGTTACAAGGCACAAGACAAGACAGAGTACAACATCACGATACAAGTACACAGACTAGAATGACAGAGAGGCATCATGGGAAAAGATGGCTCCAGTAGCGCCACCTACCATAGATAGGAGAAGGCAGTTGATTGTAACCGCTACAAGACTAATTTACAACTCTGAGCAGTGGATCACTCGGTTCACGGGTCGATGAAGAACGCAGCCAGCTTCGAGATTTGGTGTGAATTGCAGGATCGAATAAGACAGCAAAACTTCATAGAGATGGCAGCTATCAAAAAACCTTTAGTACAAAAGTTGTGGCAGCTATCAGAAAACCTTTAGTACAAAAGTTGTGGCAGCTATCAAAAACCTTTAGTACAAAAGTTGAGCAGGTTTACGTGGCACGCATCGAGACTGAACTCAATTTTCCTCCAACTGTATATGAGTTGCATGCCGCGAAAAGATGCCATGTGTAAATTACTTGACCTTGCTTGAGTTATTAAATAACCTTTTTGAGTTGCACTTTATGAATATTTAATAACTAGCCGCCTTCGGCGACCAGCTTGATCGCCAGAAATAAAATTTCAACTGAATATCTTATGCACGATTTTATATTCATGGTTCCCTCAACATAGTAGTTTTAAACTTCAAATTGCTATAAACATTTAACCACGTTCTTTGCACTTGTTCTGTTCCTTGTCTACATTAACGTCAAGTACACATTTGATTTCATCATTAAATTGGCGCGGCGCATTTTACGTCCAGCAGCATGCTAATTGGCTTAAAACACGCTGATAACAAGAATTAAAACATAGCAAAGATAATCTTTCAGATTACTGGATTATTTCATTATATACTTGAGGGCTTCCTTTACAGATTTCACAGAAAAAATAATCAAATAAAAGAAGGAAGTAAAATTCAGACAGATATTTTCTAAGTTTTCAACAATGGAAGAGAAATACGCAAATAAATATTTGTTTAAACAATGAAAACGGTTTGAAATACGTTTCAACAAGGAAAAGTATTGTTGAAAATTATGCCAAAATTTTTTAAAGAATTTATTAAAATTAGAGAAAAAATCGTACGACAACTTAATTCATATCATTAAAAAGGTAATTTTTTGCACTTTGAGATGGTGCAAAAATAATTTTTGTGCTGTAATATTTTCGGAAGTTATTAAGGAAAAACGCCAAAATTTAGCTTAATCTTTAATTAATTAAAATTTCAAAAAAAAAGAGCTCCGAGGTGCACATTCCCACTCTTCAAAGTATGTTTGTGCCAAATCTCATAGCTCTAGGTTTAGCGGTCTGCCTTGTAGAGGACCGACGCACTGACACACACATACATTCTCCTTTATTATTATAGTAGAGATTTTATTGTCTTGTTCTTTAATTAAAACTTATGAGGTAAAGAAATCCCGACAATAATTTGCGGACATTCTGTATAAACCTTTATGCTTATTCCATACACTTTAGGTTCAAACTTTATACTGTATGCACAGAATTAAATTTGCAACTTTAAATATACTGCTATCTTTCTTAATATAAAAAACGCGAGTTTGTAATTTTGCGGTATTTAAACGTAGTTTTATCTTAAATTTTGTCAAGAGCGTTTTATTGTCTGTGCTTCGTAAAGTTTGAGGGGTTTTCCCTGAAAAGATAGAGGAAATATTAATATTGAATTGAAGAGAAACATTGATAGTGAACACACTTTTAATATCATCAAGTGCGTAATTTTAAATTAACTTGATAATGTTGGATGCGTAGGATTGTCATTTCATTTAAGAAAAACAAAACGGGTTCTTGAATTGAGCTGTAAATAATGAAAACCTAATTTCATTGCGTAAATTTTGTCCTTTAACTTCAAAGTTTTTTTAAGATTATTTTAAAATTGAAAATATCAAGAGTCCGGTAAATAATAAACGAAAATAATATTTTTCTTTTTTAAATATATTTTCTT